GCAATTACATCTCTGTTGTACGAAAAAGAACACTGAAGAAGACTCTACAATCGATAATTTCAATACACGAAAAAGATTATTTGGAACGAAAGATCATACTCATAAGTGTCTAATTGGAGGAGGAGAGTCAGAAAGGGCACGTGCTACCCCACTTTAAATATTTGGTTAAGTTTGTTTGTTTGTTATGGAGTTTGCGTAAAGCTACACGAGGGATATCTGTGCTAGCCGTCCCTAATTTAGCAATGTAAGACTAGAGGGAAGTCAGCTAGTCATCACCACCCACTGCCAACTCTTGGGCTACTCTTTTACCAACGAATAGTGGGAGTGACCATCACATTATAACACCCCCACGGCTGAAAGGGCGAGCATGTTTGGTGTGACAAGGATTCGAACCCGCGACCCACAGATTGCGAGTCGAGCACCTTAACCACTTGGCCATGCCGGGCCTATTTGTTTAAGGAAAACATTTTCTCGCCTCCCTTGGCTCGCTAATTCTTCTTTACTTTTACCTCCTCTCCTCCACTTTTTAAAAACGTAGAAGCCATGTATTGACTAAAATATTATCGCTCAAATGTATTTTTAAACAAAATGTTATAGAAGTGCAAAATAAGCCTCTAGTAAATTTCTGGATTTCGAAGCTGGTGATCCGGGTTCGAACCCATGTGTATTCACAAAATATTCCCCACAGTAAAGGTTGTGGGTGCGTTATTAGAGTGCCTGTCAATTCTTTATCGCGGATGGTAGTCCAGCGGCAAACCTACTTTTTATCTCAACCTGGACTTGGCATCCATACAGTGTTTTTAGATGGTTTTAGGATAATTCGAGAGTGATGATTACAAATCCGGTAGATGACTGTTTGCCAGACTTGAATATTTTGAGATATTCACTATGTTTACTAAATCAAAGAGGAGCCCATATCTCAGCTCTTATATGATGTAGAGCCACAATCAAAGTATCTGCAACTAGGTTTCCAAGGTCAAGGATTTCAACTATGAATCCAAGAGATTTGACACTGTAAAAGGTAATGAGATAATCAAGATGGCGGCTAATATGGCTGCCAAAACGAGGAATTTTTGAAATCTCACTTTCTATATTACAAAAAAAACACGATAAAATTGGTATCAATACCCATGCATTCGGGGTCAAGGAGTTGGAATATATTATCAAAACAGTATGTCTTTTCGTTGGGGAACAGAACATTTGAGATGATGGCCAATATGGCTACTATCTCAAGATATACTGATCTATGTCTTACACTTTCAACCTCAGAGATCAACTTAGTGGTGATCTGGTTTTGGCATTTAAAAAACAGCAACAAGGGAATACTACATTCTACATTAATAAATTACACTTTGGTACTAATCATGGCCACTGATGTGTTATTACAGCGTTTATTTTTTTTCCTGTAGTTGAGATGAGAATACGATATGAGAATGTTGTAAAGATTAGGAGAGGCCCTCTTCTGGATTGAGTGCTGTCTTCAGTAATGGTGAGAGCTATGTTTGCATTCTTAATCCACATTCAGGTCTGAGATGTTAATATGCATCAAAGGGAACTCTTACCTCTTCTAATTAGGGGCACTGTATTGCAAAGATTGGTTAGCAAGGTAATGGCCACTCTGGAAGTCTCGAGACCAGTTGTAGTGATCTCTATGTGACAATTAAATGATTAGCTTAAGTACTGCCAGACACTGGTTGGTATTATCTTTCATCAGAAAGAGAAATTAGGTGTGTATATTGGATAAAATCCGTAAAACAAAACAGCAACACTGCTCTTGTAAAATAGCTATCACGTTACAAAACAGTCAGAAGCATTTCAAGCTGTCAAGGCACAATGGCCATATCTTTAGACTGTATGGTGTGGCTGAAATGAATGCAGACCACAGTGATGATGTGTCGTTTTTGGAAGAAGAAGAGGCAGCAAAAGAGGACCTGGATCATTTCTTAAAATATTTGAAGCGGCTTGTCATCTGGAATGGTTGGACCAAGGAAAAGCAGTGCGACATCCAGTGCTGAGCTTGGATGGCTCAGCATTCGATGCCTTAGTGCATCTGTTTAAGCTCAATGAATACTATGACTGATTCTACTACTCAACAGTCTCAAGGGATGGCAGTGAACACGAAGGATCAACATAAATGTTCAATGACAGCTCAACTGCTGCTAATTCCTCAAGGTATTATGCTTTAGCTACCATAGTTATGTATTATACAACAGGATTTCTCAGACACAGTTAATTGATAACAGTGGAGTACATGTATACATATTGAGAAGAAGAATGTAGTGCCCAAGAAAATGCAAATGATGTTCAATGGAGTATTTCTCTGCTGTATTGATAGAACTTATGCATGAAGCACGCTGTTTTCTATCCGGAAATCAGACTGTATATACTCTAACAGTTATCTATTTGAATGCTGATTTTGTACAGTTGCTAAAATGTTATTATGAACATTCAGCTGTTGAACTTGCAACTGGAATTGTTGCTGGCATGATATGAAAAGTAGAATAGATACATACCAGCCATGCAGTTGGTATCAGTGCAGCTTTATTGCAACCAAAAGTGAATGCATTATTTCTGAGTATTTAAGGTAATTGAGCATCCTATTCATCTTCTCTTCCACCTCTTGGGGAATATATATGTTTTTGATGCTTAATATCTATCATGCCCTTGTTCGATCTTCATACCTTGGTTGGCTATATCTTTCTGCCAATTGACAGGCTGATATCCATGTATAATTGAATTAAATGGGTCTGATTGTCAACTCATTTATCCATGGCTTATTATCACCTCACTTCGATCTTTCATTAATTCACTTGAAGACGTTGAAAACATTTGACTAGAAATACACATTTCTTTTTCATGTACACCTTTCAGCCATCATTCTGTACCAGATTTCTTGAATGGCTCGAGTTCAGGTGACTCTATAGGTCTGATATGGTTTGTGAAAATTTATGTTGCTCACATGGTCCTCACTATAGATTGTTTTTCACTGTTGAGTTGTAAGCAATCTCACTGTTCTGGATTATATCAAAGCATAGAAGTGAACTAACTGTACTATACAGATTTACTTAGCTCTTTGAAGACACTGGTTTCACCTAATGTCTGTTTTCACCAGGTTCTCTTGGATATTGAGAAATGACTGGCCCTTTTCTTTGTCATTATTATCTATCCAGTTTTCTGGACTTGTACCCATGTCAGTAACCAAAATAACGAGTTTTCTGATTTTCTAGCTATATTAGCTTCCACTGGCTACACCACCATTCCCTAATGCATATATGGATTACAAGCTTGCCATCCAGGCAGGGTTTTATGCCAGTTGGCAGGTGGTTTAGGGTAAGCAACATTTGAACAAGCTTTTCAAAATAAAAATACAACTGCTGTTTGGTTATCTAGTTTGTTCAGTAATAAGGGTAAAGAAGTTTACCTCATAATGCTCTACATTGGCTGCACTATTATTACACATTGTTTTCTCTTGCAAGAGAATGAATTCCAATGTGTGAACAGTGTGACACTCCACTCAAGTCACAATTGCCCACATATTATTTTCATAACGCCAATATGATATTCAACTATGGCACAATTATAGATGTTGTAATTTGTGCTGTCTCCTTACCATTGGGCAATGTCGTTGGCAATGATGATTCTGTCCAGACTAACAATATTTTTAATTTTTAACTTTGTTTAATTTTCTAACTTTTTGTCGGCCTGATATAGTGTATTTTTAATCTATTCATTTAATTTTTACTTTTGGGTAATTTTAACACAAAATAACAGCACAAATTACTTGCGGCTTTCTGCCATTAAGCTTCAAAACAGCAACAGTTAGTTATTGTGAGGAAGAAAAGTGGTAAGTCAAAGTTTAGAGTGATATTAAGGTGCATGAACAAAATATAACTCATCAATGCATTTTATTTTCCTTGGTTGAACGAATGCCTTGATGTATTAGAAGGTTACCTTTTGTTCGAAATATGATTATTAGGAAGTCAAACTGGATGATGGTAATAAACCTAAGACTGATTTCGTCACCCAGAAAGGACTATAAATTTAGTGCCGTGTTATTCAGCATGTGTATTTCACCTGCTGATCTTGAAGGGGTGATTGAGCTTATGTTTCAGATGCTACAATGTTAAATATTTGATATTTTGGTTTTTGGTTGTATATTTCAGGC